AGTGTATTTCAGCTTTTTTTTTTAGATGCCATGTTGTATTCCTGCTTACTATGAATCTGAGCTGTGTATGCAGGGAGCCTGATTCCTACAAACATGATCAAACTATTTTTCCTAAATTTGTGTCCATTGCAAACAATGTTTTTTGCTTTACTTCTGAGATTGTAACATTTTTACAGTGATTTATAAACATGTTGCACATCTACATCCTATTGCCAAAAGTAGCTCACCCATCCAAACAATTGAAATCAGGTGTTCCAGTCACACCACCACTGGACTCTAGAGCAGTGGTGGTGTGTTCACTGGAGTGATGAATGCTTCTCCATCTGGCAATCTGTTGGAAGAGTCTGGGTTTGGCGGGATTAATTATGTGCGGTTGTTTTTCAGGAGCAGGGCCTGGCTCCTTAGTTCCAGTGAAAGGAACTCTTAATGCTTTAGCATACCAATAATTTTTGATGATTTCATCCACATTACTGTGCACCAGTGCACGAAGCAAGGTCAATAAAGACATGGATGAGAGATTTGTGTGGATCAGTTTGACTGGCCTGCACAGAGTCCTGACCTCAACCTGATAAACCTTTGGGCAATATGGTCTATTTTCTATTTGCCCTGTTTAGGGTTTTGAGGGGGTGGAAGCATATCCCTGCAACCAATGGGTAATTTGTCTTCTCATGCATGACCCCATCCTGCATTCAACTGACTGAAATAATCCCCGGTTGGCACAGAACATCTCTTTTCACTAAGGAAAATTCCAAAAAGTTTACTATTAATTCTTTCAAGATCCTACAATTTATTGGACTTAATAAAATAATTTTGTTGAGTTATGTACAAATATGACTGAGTTCAACATTTTCAAAATGACTAAAACCTGGATCTTTTATGTCTTTCTGGTTTGTGGCTTCACAGCAGTTCTCCAGTTGCTGGTTTCCATAGATCAGGAAACAGAATGGTCTTGTGTAGATGACATGGAATCAGTGTTTTTTGTTCTTCACAAATCTCAGTTATGAGACTGTTCCCTACAGGCCACCATTAGCATCTTTCTTTATGAGGAGCTACAGGCTGTAATTAAAGAATACTGCATACAAAGAAAGATTTTATTTGGAGATTATATTGTGAACTGGCTTGATGAAACTAATAGGGAAAATCTGGAATTTTTAACCAATAAGTTTAATTCATCTCAACTACTTAAAGGTCTCACTAGGACAGATTGGAAACATATAGACTTCAGATAACAGTTTGATTTTGTTCTAGAAAAAAGTCTAAAAATAGATATGTCTGCCCAATGCAAATGGAAAAAAACAAAATGCACCTTAATAAGCTCACTTAACAAGGAGATCAGTGAAAATCAATCAAGTGGCACTTTAAGAAATTCTTGCAAGAATCGTTTGTATTCTCTATCCATTATCAATTCTTGCAAGAATTTATTAAAGTGCCACTTGATTGATTTTCACTGATCTCCTTGTTAAGTGAGCTTATTAAGGTGCATTTTGTTTTTTTCCATTTGCACCATCAAGGCATATGAGAATATGCCTTTCAGGTCAGACTAAACACTTGAAAAATGGCCTAACTAGCATCAACTGGAGTAGCTATCTCTGCAATGAAGATATCGACATAGACTGTGAGGCATTTTGAACTCCTATTTCAATCTGAAAAGACTCACAAAGAAAGGGATGGCAATTAGAAAAGTTTTAATGATGAGAAATTACATGGTTATTTCTTTGGCGCTCGAACCTGGGAGGAAGACATGAATGCTGAGAATGACATGAGCTAAGATGATCATTTGTAAGGCATAGATTTAAAGATGTCTTCCCCCTGATCCGACACTGGTGGTGGATTGGCGGCCAGGGAGCGAGGAAGCCAGGAGTAGATGTGAAGGAAGATGGTGGAGGTGGGGTGGAGGAGGGATGAGCTCAGCTGATAGACGAGGATGAACACAGCTGAAGGTCCTTTAAAAGCAAAGTGTCGGAAGGTGATTGGATGGAGAATCAAGCGGACAGGATGCTGATTGGAAGGCCGGGAGACGCGCAGAAGAGTCATTGGAAGGTGGAGACGGTGAAGGTGAGTCTTTCACTCTGAATTTTTGTCTAAACTCCATATAGGAAATAAGAACTTTTCTGGAAAGATTAAAGATTAAACCCTTCAAAGAAATAAATGTACCATGTTTATTGACTGCACAGATATTGCTTAAAACAGCTGAACCTGACTAACAGACCTTTATGTCACCAGAAACATGGTCATTAAAGTGGTCAGAAATGCAAAATCAGACATTTTTAATCAATAATGCTAGAGACGTTAACAAAATCAGATCCAGATCTGATTGTGGTCTGATCTGCCAACTGGTGGGAGGGCTAAAACAGAGTATGCCTCCTTGATTTTTGCATACAGTAAGTCCAGTCTTATTTTCCCTAGTGGGGCAGTTCAGATACTGCAAAAAGCCAGTTTTGGCCTACATGTTACAAATGTACATGTTGAGGATGTCCACTGGAGTTATCATAGATGTGTGTTTTTTGTTTTAAACGTCCATTCTCAGCTCAACCCTGTCCCAACAAGGGCAGAAAGGAGAATCATTACAGAGACCACAGCTGAGAGTTTTTGTGCTATGTTTGATCCCTGTGCTTTTGACCTATGCACTGAAATAAATAGCTTTTAAAAGAAAATAGAAAATAGTAAATAGTGTTACTGTGGCTCTATCGTAGCTGAAGTGGCACCGTTAAAATGTAACTTTGCCCCCTCAAGGTGCCTGGATTAATGAAAATATTTTTATACTGTCAATGATACAGTAATGATCTTATGAACTTTTTCTTAAACAAGATCAGGGACATAGCAGATGAAATCACTCCTCCCTCCTTGTGAAGTCCTGCTCTAGCTTAACCTGCCTCCCATGCTTGGTCCTTTTTTAATCCAATGTCTTTCATTATATCTCAGCATTGGTTGTTAAAATAAAACCGTCCTCCAGTCCTGCAGTTGTACTACCATACAAGCTCTTTGTGAAGGTCTTTGACATAATTGGACCATCTGTAATGAAATTCTTCAATATGTCACTCTCCTCTGGTGTGTTCCCTTACTGTATTCAAACATGCCATTGTTGAATCTAAACTGAAGAAAGCTAACCTTGACCAATCGGCCAATATCTAAACTCCCCTTTTTGGCCAAATTGTTGGAAAGGTGGTCCCTTTACAACTTACATCCTTCTTAGAGTCACACAGCATCTATGAAAAGTTTCAGTCCGGATATCGCAAACACCATTCCGGCAGAAACAGCATTACTTTAAGAGTCTAGCGATATCACAATGGCTGCTGACTCAGGGAGGTGTACAGTATTGGTCCTCCCTGTGGTGCATCGTGTTCTGTTTAAATTTTAGTGTTAACGTTTTGAACCCTACATGGACAGGCTCCTGCCTACATTTGTGACCTGATTAAGCCCTATAGCTCGACTCGAACTCTGAGGTCGTCTGGACTGAACCAATTAATGGTTCCATGAACCTGCTTTATGACTAGGGGTGACCGTTCTTTTAAAGCTACTGCTCCTCAACTTTGGAATGAACTTTCGCTCGAGCTGTGTTCTCTGGATACATTCTCTGGATTTAAAAAGCTCCTTAAGCTCCTATTTGTTTAGACTAGCATTCCAGTCCTAGCTGACGTAATGTTGCCACTTTTGTAACTGTTCTATTTTAATGTTTTATACTGTATGTTTTTTGATTACTATGAAGCACTTTGTGACTGTGTCTGTGAAAACGCAACAGAAATAAAGTTTACTTACTTTCTTACAGTGAGAAGGCCAATGTTGTGGAGAGTGTGATCTATTCTGCCATTATCTGCTGGGGTAGCAGCATCAGAGCCAGCTCAACAAACTAATAATGGCTTAGTTCTGGGGACTCCTCCAGAACCTCTGGAGATCATTGTGCAAAGAGGGATTCTTCATAAAATGAAGAACATTATGGAGAACCCTGAGCATCCTCTTCATGAGACTGTCCTACAACAACAGAGTGTCTTCAGTCAGAGGCTTCTTCAGATCTGCTGTAAGACGGAGCGNTGGAGATCATTGTGCAAAGAGGGATTCTTCATAAAATGAAGAACATTATGGAGAACCCTGAGCATCCTCTTCATGAGACTGTCCTACAACAACAGAGTGTCTTCAGTCAGAGACTTCTTCAGATCTGCTGTAAGATAGACCTACAGGAGATCCTTCCTGCCCACAGCCATCAGCATCTACAACAGCTCTTTGAAGAAACCTGCATAATATGAGCTACAACATTTAATTTCCCTGTGGGATTAATAAAATATTTTTTTATTTGAATTTGAATTTAATTTGAACCAGTCCACCAAAACAGCTGTCTGCTTTTCCTTGGAAAACGTGAAAAAAACAACTAGATATAGGTGGTGTCACTGGTGTTGTATTTATTCATTTGAGAAAAGCTTTTAATACTTTTAACTATCACATACACCTAACTAAAATAAGTTATTTGAACTTCGGCTTGTTCAACTCGGTGTGCTGATCGAAATGAATGGAATCCTTGATTTCTTCATTAACAATGCATTGCGTTCAAATACAAAACATGAGAGACATACCTTGTGAGAACACTCTTGGGGTACCGCAAAGGTTAAACTTTGAAACATTACCATTTACCCTTGATGTAAATAATCTATCAAGCTGCTGTCCCACAACTATAACATATCAAATGATGCCGATTATGTTGCAAGCTAAAAAAAAAAACACGCAGCACAACTAAGTACTGTCTTTAGTAGTGTATGCACATGGGTCCAAGCCTGTCAAGTGTTGACGTAAACCCTGACAGCTTGGTACCGGGAAAAAGGTGGAAAATACTACTAGTGCTACTAATTCAAATATCTTAGTGTAATAATTGATTCACAAATCCGTTTCAAACATCATGTTATAAAATTGCGAATAGAATGACATTTCAAGAAGCCAGTTTTTGATATATTAGGAAGAACTTAATATTACAGTTACTTGTACTTTGATGCTTTATTTATTTCACAAATAAGGTGACTGTGGCTCAGTGGAAAGAGTGGTTGTCTTGCAATCTGAAGGCTGTGGGTTTGATTCCAGTTTCCTTCTGCCACATGTTGATATACCCAGCCCATGCAGAATATGTTTAAGAAAACCATAAGAGTTCAGCTAGAGTGGGCTGTAGAGGAGATTGCATCTCAGACATGGAACACTTTACCAAATTAAAATGCATGAACTTCCAAATCTAGTTTATTTAGTAAAAGGTTAAAAAACATAATAGATCCAAAACCAAAGCTACGCTTACAATATTACCTAAGTATTTTGGTAATGTGTTTTATCTTTGTTTATTTGGGTTTGCGGGCTGCATGGTGGTACTCCGGCTTCCTCCCACAGTCCAAAGACATGCCTGTTAGGTTAATTGGTCACTCTAAATTGCCCTTAGGTGTATGAATGAGTGTGTGCATGGTTGTTTGTGTGTTGCCCTGCGATGGACTGGCGACCTGTCCAGGGTGTACCCCGCCTCTCGCCCATAGACTGCTGGAGATAGGCACCAGCTTCCCCGCGACCCACTATGGAATAAGCGGTAGAAAATGAAAAATGACTATTTGGGTTTGCTCTTGTTTATTAGAGGCCCGCAACCTAGGACAAAAGAAGACTACGAGCGTGTAGTCTTGTCAATTGACTTTTACTTTGTAAATGTTGACTAATTAACCATGTCCCTGCTCTAAATAAAAAAAAATCAATCTCAATTATTATTCCCCATGTATCTATTTTATTATATTAAAACTTGCTCACATCAGTGGAAGATTTTTTTTTTTTACTAAATATTTTTAACGAAAAGATCTCCAGTTAATATCTCTGCTGCTTGGGGGAGTAAGTTGAGCTCCGTGTGTTGCAGGATCCATTGTGTACAGACTGCGAAACAAATGTGACTTAAAGTGTCTCACCTTTGTAGGTGCTCCAGTGGAAACCGTCTTAAGACACCTGCATTTAGCCCTGTCCATGTATAACCAGACGGCCCATACTGGTCGTTAGTACCAGCTCTTAGCTATTGTGTGTAAAAAAACAACATTTCACACGCAAGCTGGGGAACCTGGGTCCTATCAACTACACAATCTGGGAGCACTGAAGAAGCCACGAGAGACTTGTTAAACTTGTTCCAGAAAGCTAATGTGTCTGCACACAACAATAGTTTGTTATTGAACACCTGAGAATGAAAGCAAGGTTTTAGGTTATTTATCGAGCAATGCAAACGTAGCTAAAAGATGTGTGCATGAAGATGACTGCTAACAGATGTTTCTCAGTTTAATGAAGCCTTGCTTAAAATGGCTTAAAGTGCTTCAACCCAACCGCTTAGTACTCAGAGGATTTAAAGGAGTCTGGCACAGTTCTTGTCTTGTAATTGTCAACAAAGGAGGTTTCACATTAGGAGCTGTGCAGATGACTGTATAGCCTTTTTTCCTTTGTGCATTTGTGAACTTCTGCCCCTAGAGATAAAAATCACCTGTGGATAAAATAAAGGGGACCAGATAGGCGGGCCCTATTATATGGAAAAAAGTAGCTGCAGCTGTGTTTGTGCACCTGCAACAGAACATAATTAAGGCCTGTTTCATGATCAGGTTGCTCTTCAAAGTGTCTGTAGGGAAACAAATGAACCTCCCATTACCTTGGGGCTAGACCATTCAGTATATTTTAGTTGCAGTTTTGTTTTTCTTTTAAGGTTCTTCAGAGCATTGCTGTTTCATTTAACACCACAAAAGCAAGGTAACTTCCATCTTCTCCAGCATTTAAGTCTCGGTCCCATAGGAGAACCAATAAAAAGTGCTGTGATCTTGTTATTTTGTGACTGAAAGAACAAGATCCTAGACAAAAGCAACTGAAATGAGCTTCCTCAATACCTGGATTTATCCTTAAAGACAGCGTGAGGAGCTCTGTTATTTGGGAGGAGCTAGATTGTTTAAATACATCAATCTTAGATTTTGTAATCTCCTGACTTTTGAAGAAACCAATAACCTAAGGCATTATTCTGCCATTTAGCTCATAATTTTGGTAATCATACCTGACCTAAACTGGAAAGGCTTACTTCAATTTAATATCATAGTGAGGAAAAAATGGTTCCATGCTTTTTATGAACCATATCTGATTCTAACTGTAAATGGAAAATAGTTTGACAGAAAGATGGGGCAATGTACTTATTCTGTTTTGTTATGTGGGCTCAGGGAAAGAGGAGTCAAACATAATTTGCTGTGGTGAAAGGCAACGGTAATCACAGACACATCTTTAAGTTAGCAGGATTCTTTAAGGGAATCTGAGGGTTCAGCTGAATGCAAAAATAAAAAAATACTTTCAGGATGTAAGCTTGTGTTAAACCTAAAAAATAAAGAAAATAGGATAAGTGCCATTCATATAGAAAACAGTGCATACGGCTCTTATACATTCTTTAAAGAGAATACTTAATTGGGATTTCTAAATTTTAACTTATCCAATTAATTATTTAATATTTAGGTAAAAACAGCCAATAACCTTGCATGTTTTTTTTTTTTTTTTTTACATTCTGTCTTATCTAGAGACAGCGAATAAAGATAAACCTAAAGCTAGAACCAATTTCATTACAGAAATGTTGTTCAATTGATGTACACGTAAGTGTCAGCATATAAGAACATAAAGAAAAGAAACAATATCAGTGAATTTACCCTAATTAGTTTGAATGAATCTGTTTTTCTGTAATCAGTTCGGAAATGTTTACATTATGGTGCACCACGGGAACTTGTAAAAAGGATGACACGATTTGCAATAAATCCATCCATCGGAGTTCAAAACTGAATTTATAGATGCTGGGTGGAGTTTGCGCTTCATAATTTTCAAGTTTGGACAAATAGAAACTGGGCAGGAGATGTTGAGAGCGGATGGACACATTCAGGGCTGGGGGGCGCCATAGGCTCGCCTTGGCAGCTAATGCAAAGAAGAAGAAGACTCAGTCAAACATCCGTTTCCTGTTAAAAGATCCGCGCTTCAACATCACTTCATGTAAGCTTCTACAATGGGGTTTTTACATTTCATTGGGTTATTTTATGTTTAGCAGATAAACGAATTATTTCCCAGTTTAAACCGTGGATATAATGCTAATGTGAAATCCCCGAGGAGCTAGCTGCTAAAGTTAGCTCTCACGGCTAACCTGTTTACGACCACAGCGGGAGCGGCGGACCGCGGTGTTCCCTCTGCCCTGCTGTCATCTCCTCTTTGAACTCACTTTAATATGTCTGGGTGATCTGAGGCGGATTTCTCTCGCTGAAACGGACTGAGATTCAGAGCAGACTAAGGGCCACCGGATGTAGTTTGAACTATAGCAAGGCGCCATCTCAGAATCGCAGGGCTGGATGCTAAACATGAGCCAGCCAGGCCCAGGTTTGCAATCAGTCTGACCAGTAAAACACAGCCAGACTGAGGGTCTGACTGAGCCCAGAAACTAAAGGTAGCTGTATCACTGCCCTGTAAAACAACAAACACGTTTTACAACTAAATCCCCCCTGTTTTCCATTCTGAAATATTTCCACGTTGCTACATCCCAGCAGTTTGTTCCAACACAGATCACAGAGCCACGCACAGTGGGCCAAAAACAGAGGGCATAATAAAATAAGAGCTCAATACGAACATCCCCACTGAAATCTGTTAATGTTGACATATTTACTGAAAGTGATGTTAATAATATGCGGTAATAGAAAACTTTAATAGGACCAATCCAATTTACGGTGTATTTGACTGTACAGCATAATCTAAACTGATCCATGTTTCAGCAGAATGCCCAAATCAAAGGAAGTGTTGACGTCCACATCTGGAAGTGACTCCGACAGTGAAGTAGAGACTAAGGTTTGATCTGAAATGCAAACTTGTTAACCTGACAGATTTTAGGACAGTATATTCATATAACTGATTTGGAGGTAGATGCACAGTTGGTGGAATAGGCCAATGAGCTGGAACAGATAGATGTAGAAATTTAGTTTTATAGTTTCTGCTTTTTGAGCTCTTTTAATAGTCACACTATTTTCAGACAAAACCTGTCTCATCCTGTGTGTACCAGTCAATCTATAACTCTGAAACAAATTCTGTATAGTTGCTGTTTGGACATAATGATGGCTAACATCTGTTCCTAGGCTAAAAGAAAGAAGCCAAGTGCACCAGAAAAACCAGCCAAGAAACCAAAAAGTGGAGAAAGCTCCAAACCTGGTGGTTCTTCCAAAGGCAGTGGCAATGGTGAAGACAACATGTTCCAGGTAAGCTGGACCTAGATGTTAATGTCAGAGGACTTGTTTCAATAAAAATCGTTAGCATGGACCCTTTCAGGTTGTGGATTGTGAATTCTGTCCTGATCACTGATCTCTTATTCAAGTTGGAGTCTTAGAGAAAACCTATTTACAGAAGTTCTGAAAATTGCTTAGTAGTGAATTCTGCTTTACAATAGATCATTCTTGGCCCAGAGAGATGGATGCTGTCTTGTGCCGTTCTTTGAAAGGCCCCTGATAAATATTGTGTTGTTACTGTATGTTGTCGTCATCAGATCTGCATGGAGACTGAACAGAAGTACTCTTAACGTGCAGCGTTTGGACAGAAAACACTGAAGCAAGCTCACTTTACTTTATTTTGGGGAGAGGAATACAATTTATAATTTTTCATTTATTTATTTTTAGAATCATTTTGGGCTTCTCTCAGAACCTTCTCTGAAGACATTCAAGGCCCTGACTGTTCACATTTCAGTTTACTAATGAATTGGAACATGACCCCAAACCTTGGTAGAACCTACCATCCCCAACAGTCAGATATGTTATCCTTTCATAAAATACTCCATCTTGACACTGCTTATTTAGTCTGTAAAGTTCTTACTAAAACTTGTTTATTAAAGCTTTAGTCATCTTCTGGTATGAAACAAATTTCCGTAAATTTTTCACTGTAAAAAAATAGGGCTGCACTAACTATCACAGATTTATCTTCCTGCCATATCACTGTACCCTATACCGGTGTCAGAAATAACTGCCTGGACTGTAATAAATACTAACTAGTTATATTATGTACCATGCATTCAGGTTCTCAGTGTGAATTTCAATGTGCTGATGTTTGTA